TTATGCAGTCATGTAGGTAAGACTTTAAATAGCAATGAAAATAACCTTTGCTAAGAATATTTTAAGGATGCACATTTTGTAACAATAATTAACACCGGTTACAGACCTCCACTGTGCCTGACAATTGCTTAAAGAGGTTTATGCTGTAAATTATTAGATAGAAACTTTGAAACAACTCCACCACTGAAACCATTATCTACACACTAACCCCAGAACAAATCAGAGACCTCTATCCTAAGATACTTGTCTAAGGCCCCACACTGAGGATTTGCAGAGCTGAAATGTAATCCTAGGTTCGACAAGTTTGGAATTCAGCGTTACTCTTGCCTATATTTATGTTGATTGAAATATGGCCTATCTAAGGATGTTTCAATAGAATTAAACAATAAAATAATAATTAATGTTCATTCTTAGTCTCTCTTTTTCCTCTCTCTCTCCCCATTTCCTCCTTCTCTTTTTCCAGAAACTGACTTTTTAGCATGAGAAATCTCAGAGATTGAATCAAGCACTTAAAATCATTTCAGAAACCATCAAAGATGCATTTCTATAATTAGCAATAAACAGAATACCAAACTGAAAATGAAAAAGTTTAATTCTTATTTTGTATCTTTTCCCAAACATGCGTAGACTAATTTTTATTATGCCTATAATTACTATTACTAACTTATTCATTTTACATTCCAATCATAGCCCCCTCCCTCCCTCCTCCCTCTACCCTCATCCCCTAGTCCTCAAAAAGGGGGAGCTGTCCTCCCTTACCAACTGATCCCAGACTATCAAGTCTCTTCAGGACTGCCTGCATCCTCTTCCTCTGTGGCCTCACCCAGGGAAAGTGATCAAAGAACAGGCAACAGAGTTCATGTCAAAAACAGCCCCTAGTCCCCTTACTAGGTGACCTACATAGAGACTAAGCTGCCTATCAGCTACATATGAGCAAGGGGCGTGGGTCCTCTCCATGCATGGTTTTTGGTTGGTGCATCAGTCTTCACAGGCACCCTTGGGTCCAGATTTGTTGTCTCTGTTGTTTTTCTTGTTGAGCTACATCCTCTCCAGGTCCTTCTATCCACCTACTCTTCCATAAGACTCCCTGCACTCTACCCAAAGTTTGGCAGTGAGTCTCAGTATCTGCTTTGATACTCTGCTCAACTATGCTCATAGCAGCTATATTCATAATAGCCAGAATCTGTAAACCACCTAGATATCCCTCAACCTAAGAAAGGATAAAGAGACTGTGGTACATCTACACAATGGAAAACTATTCAGCTATTAAAAACAAGGACATCCCAGACCACAGAAGAAGACAGTGCAGCCACTCCTGATGAGACCTGATAGACTAGGGTCAGAGGGAAGGGGAGGGGGAAATCCCTTATTAGTGGACTGGGAGAGGGACACGGGTGGGGAAGAGGGAGGGTAGGATTGGGAGGAGAAGAGAGAGGGAGGTACAGGGGAGATACAAAGTGAATAAAATGTAATTAATAAGAATAAAATAATTAAAAAATAAGGATATCATGAAATTTGCAGGCAAATGGATGGATCTGGAAAAATCATACTGAGTAACCAGACACAGAAAGACGAGCATGGTATATACTTATTTATAAGCAGTTATTAGCCATACAATACAGGATAACCATACTATAATAAGAAGGACCCTAGAGAAGATGTTTAATTCTCATTCAGAAGGGCACATAGAATAGACAACAGATGTGGTTGAAGAGAAAAAATAGAAAGAAAGCTGTCCATAGATGTCCTCTGAATTTTTTTTAATTTCCTTTTAATTTATATATTTACTTTATATCCTGACCATAGTGCCCTCCCTCCTTTCCTCCTGATCTCACTCTCCCACTCTCTTTCCCCTCTCTCCCCTTCTCTTCTCCTCATAAAAAGGGAGCTCTCTCCCAACAAATGCACCTATCAAAGAGCATGTATGGACTGGACCGAGGCCCCCTACACATATGTCACCAGTAGGCAGTTTGATCTTCATGAGGGTTCCCTAGTAAACTCAGTGAGTGCTGTCTATGACATGGACTCTGTTGCCTGCTTTCCAATCATTTCTCTCTAACAGGGCTCCTTTGCCAGGTCTCAGTAGATGAGGATGAGCATATACAAATATGAAACAAGTCATTCAGGCTTCCTGTATCCATCTGTGATGGATAATCTTCATTGATTTCTTCAGATTCATCAAGGCAACTGAGGCACACCTCTGGGTATACCTGTAAGGGAATTATTCATTAAGAGAGAAGACCCTGACATGAACTCAGTGGCTGGATCTTTGACCACCACCCCCTGAGGGGGGAGCAGCCTTGCCAGGCCACAGAGGAGGACATTGCAGCCAGTCCTGATGAGACCTGATAAGCAAGGGTCAGATGGAAGGGGAGGAGGACCTCCCCTATCAGTGGACTTAGAGAGGGGCATGGGAGGAGATGAGGGAGGGAGGGCGGGATTGGGAGGAAATGAGGGAGGGGGCTACAACTAGTATACAAAGCGAATAAACTGTAATTAATGTAAAAAAAATTAAAACATTTTTTTAAATAGAAGAAAAAAAAGAGAGAAGACCCAACGTTAATGGGGGGGGGACTATCCCACATGCTGGGGCTGTGGTGGGATAATACCTGGGAAGAAAGTAGAAAGTCAAAGCGTAACATCATCCCCTTTCTCTCTTCACCAACACAATTCTCTGAACCAACAGAAGCCCATGATGTCAGGCTCAATAACATATGATTAAACAAGCATGCAGTGAAGCCTGTGAAACTCTAAGCTAAACTATAAGTTAAGATACACTCTCTTTTTTTAAGTTCTTTTTTCCATATTTTTGTGACAGCAATGTGAGCGTAACTGATAAGTCACCCACAAATGTATTTGATAACCTACATCTCCTATAGGATGAAACCTCGGATCAACAGGTTACCATTATTCCATACTCAGTCACAGAGATGAGTAGAGATGAGTGCAGAGGAACCTCAGAGAAGCAGAGATTTCCCTTTATTTTCAGAAGTGAATTCTCACTCAAAAAAAAAAAAAACATTTTGAATGTTATTTTTTGATGTTTAAGTATACAACAAGGAAATTTGCTCAACCATGTTTGTAGCAGCTTTATTTGTAATAGCCAGAAGCCAGAAACAAACCAAATGCCCCACAGTTAAGGAATGGATACAGTAATTGTGGCATATCTACACAATGGAATATTACTCAGCAATAAAAAATAAAATAAAATAAAATAAAAAACAAGGAAATCATGATATTTGCAGGCAAATGGTGGGAACTGGAAAAGATCATCCTGAGTTAGGTATCCCAGAAGTAGAAAGACACACAAGAGATATACTCACTTATAAGTGGATATTAGATATATAATATAGGATAAACATACTAAAATCTGTACACCTAAAGAAACTAATCAAGAAGGATTGGCTAAGATGCTCAATCCCCATTCAGAAAAGCAAAGAGGATAAACATCAGAAGAGATAGAAAAACAGGAAACAGGACAGTAGCTTGCCACAGAGGGCCTCTAAAAGGCTCTACCCTGCAGGGTATCAAGGCAGATGCTGAGACCCATAGTCAAACTTTGGGCAGAGTGCAGGTAATCTTATGAAAAAAGGGAGAGATAGTAAGACCTGGAGAGGACACAGGACAAGGAGAGCAACAGAACCAAAAATCTGGGCACAGGGATCTTTTCTGAGAATGATACCCCAACCAAGGACCATTCATTGAGATAACGTCGAACTCCTGCACAGATGTAGCCCATGGCGGTTCAAGTCCAAGTGGGTTCCATAGTTATAGGAACAAGGACTGTCTCTGACGTGAACTGATTGGCCTGCGCTTTGATCACCTCCCCCTGAGGGAGAGAGCAGCCTTACCAGGCCAGAGAGGAAGACAATGCAGCCACCCCTGATGAGACCTGATAGACTAGGATCAGAAAGAAGGAGAGGAAGAGCTCCCCTATCACTGGACTTGGGGCTGGGTATGGTGGAGAACAGGGAGGGAGGGCAGGCTTGGGAGGGGAGGAGAAAGGGAGCTACAGGGGGGATACAGAGTGAATAAACTGTAATTAATAAAAATAAAGATACAAAATACAAAAAAAAAATTCTTTTGCTTTGGTTAGATTGTAGGAATCTGATTGTTGTCTGCCAAGAAGCTTCAGGTATCAGAGAGGGATCACTCAATGAATGTCAGGTTCTAGAAATATATTCCTTTGCATCACATTCTAGAATTCCTTTTGGGTACTTCCTAAGCAATTTTGTAAAGAATAACTCCCGGACTGTTCAATAGAATGATAATAAGTAAATATGGCTGTTAAAATTGAAAAAAAAAATAAATTGCAGTCTCATTCTGTGTTAGATTGTTCAGCTGTGACTCCTTTATAGGAATAATAAAACTGAAGCAATGACAATATTCTAAACAACATTATTTTAAGAAAATCTGAAGGAGGCAAGAGAAGGTGGCAGACTAATTAATAATTCATGTTATCAATTAATAATTATGACTCATCATTTATTATCAAATATTATAATAATTACCTTGGAAGACTTGGCATCATTATTATCATCATCTTGTGAAGACTGTTCACATATCTCTGTTTCTAACCAGGCTGCTTAGTCATAGCTCAAATGCTAGATTGAGATCCTTGTAAATCCTGTCAACTCATTTCTGATAGTTAGGATATCAAAATATGCAAATGAGTATGCTATAGCTGAGCAGTGTTGATGTTTTATGACATTTAATGATTTTCCCACTGTTCTATTCTTGTTACCTTCACCTACAATTCAGGAAATACTGAAGACAGTTGCTTTTTCGTTGATTCAATTTCAGCAGAGTGGAAGCTGAGCCTAATCCTCAGCTTCCTCTGTTCTAAATACCTGCACTCCCCTCTCCTAATTACAAGGCTTTACACTCATTTACATGAATTTCAGCTTTCAAAAATCAATGGTCTTTGTGAAATGCAAATAAGCACGTGGGAAAATTATATTAAGTTTGCACAATTGATCTTTCATCATTTCAAACGGTACCTTTAAATAGTTCCTGAAATGTCTGTCTGAAATACTCCCAACGTTGAGTGTCATCAAGAGATGGGGGGTCATCCTGGGGAAACCCATTCTCGGTGATGTAAATTACAGGGTTATTATATGTATCCTAGGACAAGAGAGCAGAAGTTTCATTCCAAACAGATGTTGAAAAAAAAAATGATAGCTCATAAAATCAGGTGCATTACCCTCTATCTTCTGGAAGCTACAACCCCAAAACTAGTTTTCATCAAATTGCACTGACCCTATTAACTTAATTTTCCACACACTGACCTTTTATGACTAACAATGGAAAAGCAAAACTGTGCAAATGTCCATGAAGACAGTCAAATGACTCTTCACATAATGAGAAGACAGAAATATCTTTCTTCCCATCAGCATCTGCTGATTGCCGCTGCTCCTTAACCCCACAGTCCTGCTCACAGGTACATTTTTTTTTTATCTACCACAGGAGGGGTCCAGAAAACTGGTACCTTGAAAATGTAATTTCAGCGACCAGCATAGGGGAGACTCAGAAAACCTTCCATTCCCTTCCCTTTAAATGTCTTTTCTAAGCACGGCTTAAAAAATATGCCCACGCTGCTCATACTGCCACAGCAGATCTTCCAACACATTTCGATATAGAAGCCAAGCTAGTTAACCTTAACTAACTCAAATCTTAGTCTCTTCTTCCCAGCCAGGAACTAGATACACCTGAAATCATCCCTTTTGGTGTCCATACACATGAAAACATGTGATTGCCCAGTGTCCTTCTGTACTTAGCTACACATAGACAGAAACAAATTAATCATTTACCTTAATGTACGTCAGTAGTTTTCGTATTCCCCATGGCACCACGTAGATCCAATCTACATTTTTCCAAGATGGATTGGGAAAAAATTCAATCTCCACATCCTGAAGGAAGCTGAGTTCTCTCTTCTTATTCTCCTGGTGCCTGACTAAGCGAGTTGTATAATATTGAACAGCAAAGAAATCAGCAGTGCCTTTGATCATTTTCTTCTCTTCTTCTGTGAATTCTGGAAGCCTTGATGATGAATAGCCTTGCTTTTTACTCATGGAGGCAACCTGGGACTTGACAACTTCAGGATAATCACCATCAATAAATATAGGTTTAGCAAAGAAATCAAACTGGAAATTGATGGCCCTCTTTGTAGCTTCCTGGTCAAGCTCTGAGTTGGGATCTGCTGGTTCTAACCAGCAACAAAATAATGATAGGGACACTAAACCCTTCTGTTCTTTTCGGAATAAAGAATCATAGCTGTGCCAAGATCTGGCATGAGCCTTAATCAAATTATGAGCTGCTTGATATCCCCCAACCCCAAAGTGAGGCATGCCAGGAGCAAAGATTCCCAGGTCATAGGCCAAAAGAGCAAGAATATTTGGCTCGTTTATGGTGAGCCACCGTTTCACACGGTCTCCAAAGGTCCTGAAGCAAAACTGAGCATATTTGTCAAAGGTTTCAACAATTGCTTCTGACAACCAACCTCCTAGGTCTTCTAAAGCCTGAGGCAAATCGAAATGATATATGGTCACTATCGGTGTCACTCCATTCCCTAACAAATCGTCTATGATCTTGTTGTAATAGTCGATTCCTGGAAGAAAAAAAAAATGTAAGAAACAAGAGGTTATTTTTATAAGACTGGTATCGGGAGGAGTCTTACTTAAAATAAGATGATTACATATTCAAGTTGATCAATGAAAGGTTGGGCAGAATCATGGAAAACACAGAGAAGACAGGATAATCAGGAAGTGATGGTGAGATGGGATGGCAGGAGGAGAAGTTAACTACTCCAAAACAGATACATTTCAGGAAGTTGCTGTCACCTAATATTATCCTATTTTTGTATTTTTTGAAATCAACTCAATAAGGTCACAAGTTCTATATGAGGTGGAAAGTGCAATTTGCCTCTTCATTTCCAAATCCTGGAATCCTATCAGAAGTTCAGTGAATAATAAAGATCTGTTCAATTAACAGAACTCAGTATTAAGAAGTAAATAAAGAAAGCAACTCAGATGGCTGCCTTAGTTCTTTGTCAGGCCTAATCATCTTATACAAGTCTAGGGGAAGAAATCCACTGAGTACACACAAAAGTTTACTACCAAAGACATGCCTATGGTCCCAAACACGTAGAACTATATGATCCAAGTGCATTGAGGTCAGTTGCAGTAGCATGGTGATAGCCTTTTTCAGTAATCTAAAAGGTTCTACAGGCATCCCAGAATGTGGATAATAGATGCCATGAGTCCTCACAGAGTATGCCTCTCTGGTTGGAGTTCCTGCTACAATTTTGACCATGTACAGGATTATCAAGTAAGCCCATCCTCTCAGCCCATTCTTCCAGGAGGGGATGAACTATGGAGTGCCGGCAGAACTGCTGCAGAATTCCAAAGAAGGCTGTTAACTTGAAGAGGCTCTGCCTCAGAAACCAAGGCCAGGAATATATTGTCGCTGGTCTCATACAAGGACTCTTACCTCGTAAGTGACTCTTTAGGAAAAGGGTGGTTGGTGGTAGAACTACACCTGGGTTTATGTTTAAAGAATTAAAGAAACTGGTGCTTAGAGAAGAAAAGCTTTCCCAATTAGGAGGTTCCTAGAAAAACGCTGCAAAATAGTATTTAGAATTGCACTGAAAACATCCTGACAAGGAAGATTCCTTTCTTTTCTAACATAGTGAATACAGAAACAGAGTTCTGTGTTTCACCCATTCTGCTGTTTCACCCATTCAGTCATCTCCTTGCTCATTACTTACGTGCATATTAATAGAAAAATAATCATATGTTGGGCATAAAAACCTAGGATGGTAAGCAAGACCCTTTTCCTTGGGAAATTTACTAACAACTCTACAAATAATGCAGATGCACTTATAAACAAGGGAAAATGAACTACCTAGTACAAATAATATTTAGCATTTTATTTTAAAATAAGATAAGTATCAATGTATGGCACCTGCAAGCATCCTCTAAAAGCAATATACCATGATGGATACAATATTGAACTATGGTACCATCCTATATAAAGTCCATGTCTACTCTGTCACCTACTAGTTCCATGGTTTTGGAATACTCTGGATCTCCCTAAATTATTTTCACTCATCTGTAAAATGTGGATAACACTAGAAATCTACTTAAGTCAATTAGTATGTGAGAGTTTAATCAGTTGATTCACTGAACATGATAAAAACATTTCTTAACACATAGTAAGGGCTCAGTACAGGCCGTGTGTTATTCTACTAATTAATATTATTGTTATTGTTAGATGAATAAAAAGAACCATTATAAGGTAGTAAAAACAGAGTGTTCCTTAAAGAGTAAAAGAAACAAATGCCCAGAACAGCCAAGGAGATACAGACATGAAACCCATCCAGAGAAAACGGGCAGTTTACTCGGTTTGCTATGGGGAAGAAGTAAACCACCATCACTTGAACTTGGCATGTACTGAAAAACAGTCGGGAAACAGGAAAAGAAAAAGCAGAGGCTTCAGGAATGCTCTAACTGGAGTTGCTCATGCAGGTAGCTGGAAGGGGGCTGAGCAGACGTGAGTATCTCCTGTGATTGGTTTGAGGAGTATATTTCCCTTTCTCTGATTGACCTGAGTTGGATGCCAACCTAGGATCAGAACAAAAACTACAGAGAGTGGAAGTTGTTCAAGCGCTCTGACTATTCTGGGCAGGTAGCTTCAGAGGACTTGTGGTTCAGCTGTCTGGGCTTCTATTGTGGGTCAGGGTTTTATTTTCATATGCTGTCTAGCCAATATTTACATAGTCACTGTCTTAAAAGAGGCGCTCCTTCTGGGAACTGAAAGTTCAGTGTGTAGAGGGTTTGAACCTCATGAGAAGAAGAGAGAATTGGGAGAAGAATGCAGAGTACACAGAAACCATGTTATGTACCAGGGTATTGTTGACCTGTCTGAGTATTTTTAACCATGGCTCACTCATTTCAAAGGAGGAAAATAACATGAGCCATGTATAAGAATTTCATGTCTCGGGAACACATATGCTTGTAACTATAGCAGAATAACTCCTTCTTTTTCCAAAGATGCCTATGAGATAAATGACTATGATCCACTACAGAGCCAAAGTAGACTACACAGATGTAATTGAGGTAAAAACCTTGACATTAGAAGGTTTCTCTAATTGGATTACTAGATTTGTTGCTATTTGACTTCTTGAGTTCTTTATATACACTAGATATTAGCCCTCTATCAGATAAAGGGTTGGTGAAGATTCTTTCCCAATCTGTGGGCAGTTGTTTTGTTTTGATGACGGTGTCCTTTTGCTTTACAGAAGCTTTTCAGTTTCATGAGGTCTCACTTATTGATTGTTGTTCTTAGAGCCTGTGCTGTTGGTGTTCTGTTCAAGAAGTTGTCTCCTGAGCCAATGAGTTCAAGGCTCTTCCCCACTTTTTCTTCTAACCAATGTAATGTGTCTGGTTTTATGTTGAGGTCTTTGATCCACTTGGACTTCAGTTTTGTGCAGGGTGATAAGTATGGATATATTTGCATTTTTCTACATGTAGACATCCAGTTAGACCAGCACCATTTGTTGAATATGCTGTCTTTTTTCCATTGAATGGTTTTGGCATCTTTGTTAAAAATCAGGTGTCCATAAGTGTGTGGGCTTTGGGGGTACAGAGCTAAACACAGAATTCTCAATAGAGGAATATCAAATGGCAAAGAAGCACTTAAAGAAATGTTCAACATCCTTAGTCATCAGGGAAATGAAAATCAAAACGAACCTGAGATTTCACCTTACACCCATCATAATGGCTAAGATGAATAACTCAAATGACAACACATGCTGGAGATGATGTGGAGAAAGGGGAACCCTACTCCACTGCTTGTGGGAATGTAAACTTATACAACCACTTTGGAAATCAATCTATCACTTTCTCAGACAATTAGGAATAGAGCTACCTCAAGATCCAGCTACACCACTCCTAGGCATATATCCAAAAGAAGCTCAAGTATACAACAAGGACATCTGTTCAAACATGTTTGTAGCAGCTTTATTTGTAATAGCCAGCAGCTGGAAACAGCCCAGATGCCCTTCAATTGAGGAATGGATACAGAAATTGTGGTACATCACACAATGGAATATTACTCAATGACAAAAGGAAATCATGAAATTTGCAGGTAAATGGTGGGAACTGGAAAAGATCATCCTGAGTGAGGAATTCCAGAAGCAAAAAGACATACAGGGGATATACTCACTCATAAGTGGATACTAGACATATAATATAGGATAAACATACTAAAATCTGTACACCTAAGGAAGCTAATTGAGAAGGAGGATTCTGGCTAAGATGCTCAATCTCCATTCAGAAAGGCAAAGAGGATGGACATCGGAGGAGGGACAAAACAGAGAACAAGACAGGAGCCTATCACAGAGGGCCTCTGAAAGACTCTACCCTGCAGGATATCGAGGCAGATGTTGAGACTCATAGCCAAACTTTGGGGCAGAGTATAGGGAATCTTATGAAAGAAGGGGGAGATAGTAAGATCTGGAGAGGACAGGAGCTCCACAAGGACAGTGACAGATCCTAAATGTCTGGGCACAGGGGTCTTTTCTGAAACTGATATTCCAGTCAAGGACCACTCATGGAGATAGCCTGGAACCCCTGCACAGAGGTAGCCTATCACAGTTCAGTATCCAAGTGGCCTCCATAGTAATGGGGACAGGGTCTGTCTCTGAGATGAACTGATTGGCCTGCTCTTTGATCACCTCCCCCTGAGGGGGGAGCAGCCTTACCAGGCCATAGAAAAAGACAATGCAGTCACTCCTGATGAGACCTGATAGACTAGGGTCAGAGGGAAGGGGAGTAGGACCTACCTTTTCAGTGGAGTGGGAAAGGGACAACGGTGGGGAAGAGGGAGGGTGGAATTGGGAGGGGAGGAGGGAAGAAGGTACAGAGGGGATACAAAGTAAATAAACTGTAATTAATAAAAATAAAATTTAAGAAAAGCTTTCTCTAGACTTTTCAAATGGACTCGATATAATCCATAATTCTTTAGAAGTAAAAGAGTATGGATGGGAAGTAAACAATGATCAGAATATGTAAAAATATATCGGAGTTGGAGAATGTGGTAGATTGAGAGACTGGTTTGCCACCACTGGCATTCAAGATGAAGGAGGACAGGCCCAAGCTAACAAATGCAAGCAAAAGTAGCCCTCAGAAGATAACCAGCAAAAACATGAGAGCTTCAGTGTCACGTGCCCACAACACACAGGAACCAACACAGAGAGATTGCCTCACACACTTTAGAAAGAAACACTGCCCTGCAGATACTTTGATCCCAGTCGACAGAGTGCTGAGGTCACAGATTTGTGTTGTTTTAAGCAGTTAATTCAGTGATGGATGATTTTTGTAGCATGTTCCTTTTCTCTCTCAAGTAATGAATAATTTTTTTTAAAAGGTGTTCCAAACCCTTCTCTGGGCCAATATGAATCCGCATTTCCCAGTTTGTAACTGGACTATCCCAGCAAATGTATTACACTAACCTGTAATACACTGGTATTGGTGGGCTTCAAGCTCCTCCTAGTGAACTCTTTTCATTGGCTTGCCTTGCATATGAGTTTCCTTCATTGAATCCATA